GTTCTTGGGCCTCTCGGATGGGTCGGGCCAGGGCTCATGGTCAAGGTGGGCCCTTGGCGTCAGTTTCTGAGCCAGTGCCTCCTTCGAAGCCGGCGTTGTCTGGTCGGTGCGATGCTCGCTCGCTCTGCTCGTCAGTCAGCTTCTCGTAAAGGGTGTCGGCCCTTTTGCGGGTCGCCCTGTTGATGGGGTGCTGGGGGGAAACTGGTGCTGTTTGCACACATTTGGTCCCATGATTCATGGGCATTTTGGGTTGTGTCTTTCAGCCTGTGCTGGTATTGAGAGGCGGCTCCTCATTGGGGGGTTCGGGGCTGGCGGGGTAGGCTTCTTCCCCTTCACTCCGTTGGGTCATCTTGGAGTGGGTGCGCTTGGGCATGGTCGAAATGACCTTGTTCCTCAGGTGGGTTTCCCCGCCTGTTTCCAGTCACAAAATGGGACTGCGGATTTTCGGTTCATTTTGGACTTGTCCTATGTGAACAGCTGGATTCCTTGCCCCTCTTTTCGGATGACATCTGTGCTTCGCTGTGCAAGTTTACCCGCCAGGTTGAGTCTGGCTTCAGCGCCTTTTCTGGTTCCTTCGGGAACTTTCCTTCCGCCTCTCTTGCGACCACTGGGTTTGACTCGTGGGCCTTGCATCGGTTGCTGCATCGCCGGCTTCCTCTTCCAGTTTTTCGGAGTTCAGTGCCTTGGCGCCTCCCCGAGCCTCGCGCGTTGACGCCTGGTCTCTCGGCAGGGTTGTGTGGTAGCAGAGCCTCCTAAAGTGACAGGGTTGTGTGGTGACAGAGCTTCCTAGAGTGACAGGTTTGTGCAGTAGCAGAGCCTCCTGAAATGAAGATGTGTGTGGAGATAGAGCCTTCTGGAATGAAGGTGTGTGTGGTGGTGATAGAGCCTCCGGAGGCTCTGTTGCGGCTACATTCCCGCCTTCTGCTGTTTCTGGAGGGCTCCTGGGTCACGAGTCAGTTGTTCGAAGGTTTGTGTGGGAGTTTCAGGACCATCATCTTATGCCGAATACTGACGCCTCGTATTGTGCGGCGCTGGTGGAGCCGCTTCAACTTGCATTCAGGGTGAATGTTAATTCTGCTCCGTTCCTCAAGCTCTCTCATGCGTTTGTAGACAATGAGTCACAATAACGTGACTGAAGTATGTAGACCAGACCCCACACTAGAAGGTGAAGGAACGAAGACGTTTCGGTCCGTCCTGGACCATTCTCAAGTTGGAGAATCTCGTGCATTGTTTCACCTCCGGCCTGCTCATGCGCTGTCTGAGCCATCTTGGTCGTTGGACCGGGTGCTCTCTTTTCTCTCTTCTCGGTTTGTTGTGGGCCCCTTCGGTTCAAGAGTGTTTTTTGAAGGCTCTTTTCCTATTGGCATTGGTCTCCAGGGGTCAAGTTAGGGAGCTTCATGCTCTCCTCCGGCACAGGGTTTCTGATCTTTTGGTACTGGTGGTAGGTTTGTTCATTTTGGTTTTGGTTTGATGAAAACATTGAAAGAAAGAAATATGAGGGAAAAGTTATTGAGTTTTTGTTGAAAGTATAGAAAAGTGAAACATACGTTCTTATATGCAAATATCCATTTACATCATTCTATTGTGAACAATATGATACCAAATTGAACGACGTAGCATGAAAATTCAGGTGAGAATAACCATTCGAGTGGCGAGCTCTCGGGCAATGCTTGGGCTACCTTGAGGTGCGCAACGGGTTGCCCACCGGGGCAACGAAAGTGTTAAAAGCTATTCTAAAGCTGGAAAGCGTAGCATAGGCTCCTTGCACAGTGTTCTTTATGTGATCCTCTGGTGACAGTTTTCTATCAAGAACCACCCCTAGATTTTTATCAATTCTTTTATAAACACAACCTACATAATTTGTAGATTGTGAGGGGGGCCTATTTTTTCCTATTCCATGTTCCATAATTTGGCATTTATTCATTAAAATCCATTTGCCAAGTGTTGCTCTATACCTTTATTTTGGTAGGTCTTCTTGAAGGGCATGACAAAGGGCATCTAAGTTTCTTATCATCCCTAGTACAGTACCTTAGCATCATCAGCAAACATATTCATATAATTCTGAACATGTTTGCTAATGTTACTAGTGGATTACATCAGGGTTCAGTTCTTACCCCCAGACCAAGTGCTAAAAATATCTATAAAGGTGTTTTAATATAAATGCACCCATATTTATTTTGGAAACCAATGAAATTTTGTTTTATTTGGTATAAATAAATGTTCACTGCCACCGATTCACGCCAAAACTACACAGATAATGGAATTAACCATTATTAACCAGACATACTCGTGTTAATGGGGTGGAGAACATGAAATTTCTACATTCAGTAATTCGAGAATCCAATAAAGGGAAATTTGTATACAATATTAGGAGTTCCACTGTACAGTATTGCCAAATGATGGTTAACCACTTAACTGTGCCAGCCGAGTATTCTCGGTCGGCAGGAAACTGCGCCAACCAAGAAAACTCTTTTTTTTTATTTTTCCGTATCCATTCTAAATGTGTGCGAGGTTGGTTGTGTACGAAATGGACTCTAAGGACCTCCAGTGAGAGGCAGCCATCTTGGAAAAAATTCCCAGAATGCCCTAGGGCTGCTGGCTGGGTTAGTACTGAATGAGCAACCATGGGTGGCGCACGCACCTCTGGCTCCCAAACACCTGTCTGACGCGGTGTTGAAAGATAATGCTCAGTCGGTGAAATTCAAACCTTGTTGTTTGAAGAACATAAGGGTCATAATATTGGTAAAGCTAGGTGCAATAAGGACCTAACACAAAGGTCGGATGCAATTGATACAGCACCTATGAGGATGATACAGCGAGCGTATCCAGTTGTAGCTCTGAGCATCACCCTAGCAATCCTATGCTATTTCCAATTTATTTAGATGATTCTTAGATGAATCGTTTTCTGCGTTCAGTGATGATTCATCTGATACAAGTAGCATAGATGAACAGTGTTAGCGGCTTCCATGGTGGTGTTTTCCGTAGATGTTTTCAAGAATACCTGAATCTCTTCCTGACTGACAGACACTCTTTGAGGCAAGCTGAATCTCTTCCTGTGTGGAACCATACAAAGCGATCTTTTCAAGACTACCTTACAAATTGATCTTTTCCTATATTCTTTTCAATACTACCTTATGCTTTACAAGCTTGGCTACATACAACCTACAAGTACTAAAACAAGGGTGTACATGGGTGCGTTATTTGCAAGCACACAGAATGAAGAAACAGGAAGTGAAAATTTATCTGTACCTGGTGCAACGAGAGCGCGAAGTCGCGCTGCGTACCATGTGCTACTTCGTTGACTATTACTCACTTCTGAAGTACTGAGTGTGTAATACAGTGTGTTACTGTGTAAATAGTGTGTGAAACTGTACATATTTTAATTTTAGTGAATTTTTAACAAGTAATATTGCAACAATAAACATTTATTGTGGACACATTACTGACACATGTATCACAGTTCCATGGAACATTATGAACGTTCTACTGTATACATATTGTAAAGGACACACATATGCATCATTTACGATAAAAAAAAGCAAATAAAACTGCATTGGAAATACATAGAACAAATATTTGAAAGTATATTTGTGGCAACACCCGGTGCTCGAATGGCCCGCTCGACCGTGTCTGGGCGAGTCATGCACGGGCGACCAGGCCCTGATGACATCACAGCGCACCTTGTCCACGTCCCCACAACCAAAGCAAGTAGAATTTGGTATTTATTTTTACATAGACATGTTCAGGGAAGGGAATTTTTATCATTTTACGAAGAAAAAAAAAGAATTTTTTGTTAACAATTTATTTCATGCGCACGGGGAATTTCACAATAAACTCGGCGCAGCACGGTGGTTAAGTGTCAAGGGGTTTGTTGTATTGTAAGATGATTTATTAAGTATTGTAAGGATTTAAACCTTTTGCACCACTGAGATATTATTTGTAAATAAGTCATGGTTTGAGGGGTGGGACTTGTATTTTATTTGTTATATTGTCGTTGTCGTTGGTTTGCAAGATGAGAATGGTGCAACACCATTTTTCAGATGGTGTGCAACGTAACCATAATTGGGACATTATCTAGGTAACAGGTCAAGATTTAAGAGTGATCATTGACTGCTTTTCATATAAATAATAATCTTGTTATGTTGTACAGTGTATACATGTATTGGAGGTGTGTTTTTTATATACGTATGTATGGCCATGTATTAGCTTGCTTTGAAAGACTTGCGTCCCTGCATCATGCACTCGCTGTTCCTGCCTTCATAAGTGAAGTGTTATAAATATGCTTTCTCGTTGAAGAATTTCTATCACACCATTATGTGTTAGGTTCATAACAGAGATGCTTCAAAAATATGTTAAGAGAGTGGTAATATAAGACAGTATTGTTTCTTCACGATGGGGTCAAGTGCAGGTATGTGGGTTCCATCACTTCGTATAGCCTCAATATGTTCTTATAAATTCATCACATTCTTGTGACATTATTTATTTATTTATTTATAAGAAGGTACATTGGGTTTGTTGGAGTGCATAACATTGGTGTTCTTACATTTTTGTAAGGCCACTAACATGCATAGTGATTTTGGGCAGATTTCTTTGTGAATCTGTTCTGTACGCAGAACAGTTTGGCTGTTATTGGCATGTTTATTATCACATGCTTTCACCATGAATACATTTGGCCAGAAAATGTATTGTAGTAATAACAGTGTAAAATAAAAAAATATATAAAAATACAGAGGGTGAACTTACAATAGTTACTCAGTAGGGACAGTATTTGTATATACTGTATTGTACTGTATTATAAAGCCACAAATTTCATGGGGCATTTTAGGCAAATTATTTTGTAATAACAAAGTGTTTCCTTGTGGAGTTCACCAGTAAAATTAGGGAGCATGAAATGGATAAAAAGTAACGTTTTATAAAATAAACACAATATCATGTGTGTAATTCTTAAATATGTATTTTGATTGTGTAATTTGTATTTTTACCATCTTGATAATTTTCAGAGTTGACTAAAGCCTGGCGATGCCTAGAAAACGAAAGCACGCGTCAGAAATGCTTGGATATAGTGGAAGAAGCTGAGGCCATCGTAGCTAAAAGGGTAGGTTTCAGCAACTTTTATTGAATGATTTATACAGAATAATGCTTTTTTCTAGAGGAGTCTGTGGTGGCTTCCTGATGCTATCTCACTGAGGTGGCTTACCCCTACTGATCCACATCAACCATGGGAGTCCTGTAAGACCTACTGGAGGCCAGAGCCAGAACCTGGCCCTATCACAGAGGCATAGGAAGCAGGGAGATTGTTACAATCACCCACACTGAGAAAGGAGCTTTGTAGCTCCTTTCTTCACCCTCCCGGGGGGGGGGGAGGTTGCACAGACAGCGGCGCAGCAACGTGATGACATCATGCTCGTTTGCTAATTTTCATTGGCGAGTTCTGTCCACTCGTTTGGCTTTCGGTAGCAATATTTTACCAGAATAGGGAGTTTGTTTTGGGGCGCCTATCTTTGTGGGTGCCAGACCCTGTTAATGGCAGACATAGAATGCTCCCAACCACACGGGGGTTTCTATAGGCCATTGCTCCTCGTGCTTCTCTTGAGGGGGCCAGGTTCTGGCTCATGGTACCTGGTAGGCAAGAACTCTGTGTACACTGACTGATGCCAGAAAGTTGCACATATCCTTTCAGCCTTGATAGCTCCGGGGAGCCTCTGGGACTCACCCAGAAAATGGCGTTTCATTACATTCAATGCTTTTTTTTTTTTTTTTTTTTTTTTTTTTTTTTGTAGGGGGGGGAGGGTTTGCCTCTCTCTTGCTTGGAGGCAGCTTTTCTGGGTTGGGCTCTCTCACTGGTTCCTGGTTAGGGTGAAATGTTGTTGGGGGGGGGGGGGGCCAACAACATTTTCCTCTTTTGACAATGCTATGGGGGAGCTTCTGGCTTGTGTTTGCTTGTTTCTGTAATTACGTAAGTGTAGTTATACGATGAGAGCTACACTTGTGGTGGCCCCTCTTTCCAGTACTCTTTGTCGTATAACGCTTTGACACTCTGCATGCAATTTGTGGGCTTTTCAGGTTCCTGGTTCTGGGATCCACCAACCCACCACATGGGGTGGGGTTGATGGTCCTCCCCTTGGCCCCGTGTGGTTGGATTTGGGCACTATTGAGATACCCCTCTGCTTTTCGTTGGGGTTTCCAGTTCTTTTCTGTTCCAAATGCATGTCTCGGCAGGCCTGCGGTCCATTTGCAGCATTTTGGGTCTGTGCATATTCATTCCATAACCAGTCTTCTACATGAAGACTGGGTTGGTGTGTCTGAATCATGCATACTTGCACTTTTTCTTTTCCTCAGTAGTTTGAGACCTGTATGGGATTATTTATTGGGTTCATGCTTTGGTCTTTTTCATTGGCTGGTTTGGGCTTCTAGCGAGTCAAGACACCAGCACCCAGGGTTCTGTATCTTTCCAGCTTGCCAGGTTTGGGTTTCTGGTGAGCTGGTGGAAGTTCCAGTTGGTTCTGTTCCAAGTTTTGATCTGGTTGAGCCTGCTTTGGGGTTCCTGGTCAGGCTCTCTTTCTCTCCCCCCCCTGTGTCTGCTGCACATGTGGTTGCATCGCCATCTGGTGTTGGTCTGGCACTGGGAGACTCGGTACTTAGTCGAGTTGTTGTGCAAGAGCCTAAGCTTTGCCTAAAGGTCGTTTCCCTGAACAGAGTCTCGCTCTGGGCATTGTGGTGGTTCCTCCGGTTTCACCCATTTCGCCACTTCCGGCACTGTTGGGTTCAGGCTCATCTGCCTTTTATGAGCACTTCACCAGTTTCCTCATCGGACTTTTCAGAGTTCGTTTTGTGGTACCTTCCTTCCTGTTGCTCAATGTATTCATGAATGCCTTGACTGTTGGTAGGAATCTTATGCCTGTTGATCACAGGGTCTTCCAGGTTCATTGGTCGAGTCTGTTCCTTTGGGCACCCGACATTGAGCGCATGTTTGCTACCGTGTGGCAGACGTCCCTTTAGGGAAAGGGTTTGATTTCCTCCAGGGGGTTCATTTTATGGTTACATTCCGACTACTCCCTGGTGGTTCATTCGCTGAGCTGCAAGGAGTGCTTTCCTGGTGAGGGCAATTGTAATAATCATCTGCTTCTTAACACATCTGTAGGGGGACCAGGGGCCAGATTCACGAAGCAGTTACACAAGCACTTACAAACCTGTACATCTTTTCTCAATCCTTGGCGGCTTTGTATACAATTATTAAACAGTTAATCAGCTCCGAAGCACCAGAAGGCTGTTTATAACAATAGCAACAGTTGATTGGAAAGTTTTCATGCATGTAAACTGTTTAAATGTAACCAAAGCCGGCAAAGATTGAGGAAAGATGTACACGTTCATAAGTACTTGCGTAACTGCTTTGTGAATCTGGCCCCAGGTTTTGGCTCTAGTCCCCGGTAGGTCAAAGGGAACTCCTGTAACATATGTGACCTTGTAGTGGAGAGCCATCTTAGCACGATAGCTTTAGGGAGCTTCTGGGGCTCATTCAGAAAGGGGCATTTCATTACATTTAATGCTGGGTTTTTACCACTTGCTTAGCAATGTTGAGTATTTTGTGTGAATTGTATTAGAAGTAATGTTTAAGAGACACTGTGTGTATGGATCTTTGAAATAGGATTACTCTTAAGGCTAGTTAGGTAAAGTATCACTAGTGTGCTTGGACCCACAAACCAGGTCGGGACTACCTTGGTAAAATGTCACCAGTTTGGTATGCATGCACCTTTTACTTTATATTATAGCTTTAACTTAAGCTATCAAATTTTCCCAGAAAAAATATTTATCTTAATATAAAAAAAGACTTGACCAAATATATTTGTTTGCTTGTATTTGTGCTAGAGATAAGAATATTTTAATAAGATTTCATACACAATATTGCATAGTGTATTTCTGAGCTGGGCTGCCTTGAGTGCTGCTCTTAACTAAAGCTACTGACACCATAAAATGTTGAAAATGCCAGGCTTCTGAGTAACCTTTCCTGCCTCAGTGGAAAAGTACCCTTTCAAGCTCTTGTGTTCCTTACCGATAGATAAGGAGCATGTGAAATGTTGAGATCGATCCACTAATGAGAGAAACAGACTGCTATTGCGCACAGAAATGTCTCAGGGGAACGTTCAGACCCCCACGGAATGATTGTTGGTTATGCTAAATGTTGTGTTATTTCTTTGAACTACTGATGTAGTCTACCAACTATCACACTACCCCAGCTGCCCCATCTACAGACACAAGTGTTGAGGAGGGTCGATTCCTTAAATTTTTCACTTCGTGTCATTGTAAAAAGTACAGCTACTGGTAGACTGTTTTTGTCTCAGTTTGGGGTAAATACTTAAGGTTTTCTTCATTGTGGTACACCTTATTTAAATGTTAATAAAGTCTACTATTTTCTTTGTTCAGGATTTCTTCCCTGGCATTAAGAGTGAGGATCATAAATCCTGTTCCAAATGCATGTCTCGATTTATGCAGACGATGAGTCACAGTAATGCAACTGAAGATATGAAGACTAAACCCACCACCAGATGGGGAGGAGACGACCACGTTTTGGTCCGTCCTCGACCATTATCAAGTCGATTGTGATAATGGTCCGGGACGGACCGTAACGTGGTCGTCTCCTCATCTTCTGATGTGTGGTTTAGTCTTCACTAGATTTATATTTTTTTAGTTGCTGTGTTCATCCTTTAAGATGACTTGAGTCTATGTGCACCAGGCAGTGTTCTGAGACTTTGTCATCGATCAAGGCTTCAGAGTGTGAGTTGGTTTTGCACCATTTAGATTACATGTATTAGTAATTAATATATGTAATCTAAATACTCTACAGTTTAACCAACTCTGACAATCAAGTGATTGTCGTCAATCAAGCCTTGATTGATGACAAACTGCGTTACATAGCACTTGTTCCCATCTTATTTGGGTGATGGGGCTGTGCTCACAGATAGAATTTTTAACAATTGAGACACTTTGGTTTAATCGGTGGATTCTATTGGCATTCCTCGTTGACTGAAATGGGGTTCGTGGCTTGAACAATGAGTACGTCTCTCTCGCAACTGGAATTTCACTTGGAGTGTTGCCCGAGTTAGATCCGGATTTTCTCGTGCTTTAGGGAGGTCAGTTACATTGTTTTCTGCAACTTGAGGTATGGTAGTACTCCCCCATTTCCATGCCAGAGCCTCCAGTTTTTTACCAAATAAAAGGAAAGTAATAATAATTTCATAATTTTTGTATTTCAGGAATGTCTTATACATCGTGCAGGCATTTTCTTAACCAGTTTTTATAACAGTTGCAGGAGGGGGGTGCCTGTGTGTGAATCTAATTTGCTGGCATTTTTGCTTGAAAGGTGTAGAAAGGAATTGTCAGATTTATTTCATTCTCGGCACTCCTTACCCTTCTCTTTTGATGAGACACAGGGTTTGGTGAGTTTGGATGTGTTACAGCCCTCTGATAACCAGATTTCCACCCTACTGTAGGGTTTCACATGGAAGTGATGACCAATCCACACACCAGAAGATGAAGAGACGACAATGTTTTGGTTCATCCTGGACCATTATCAAGTTGATCCATCTTCTGGTGTGTGGTTTGGTCATCATATCTTCAGCCATGTTATTGTGACTCATTGTCTGCATGTGTCATGTGGAATTTTGGTGGTTCAAGTTTTCCCTCCCTTCACGACCCTTACCGACAAGGGTTCAGTTCTGACAAGTCTCTTACGTTAGAGATGCGGGCTTGACCAATACTGTTATTTAAAGCACAGGTGAGTAATATAAATTCTTACTAAACGATGCCTGGAACTCCCCCTGCACCCAAGTTGTTGACTGAGAATCCTGCCATCCTTCACTGTTTTCTCCGGAGCCTGAGTGGCATTCAATTGGCTCATTGCATCTGTACCCGAACCAGCTCATTGTGGGCCATGCTTTGCTTAGAATCGTGCAAAATCGTGCTTGAGGGCTTAAGTGGGTGTCCTCATAGTGCGTGTACCCAGATCACTCATTGTGTGGTCGCTGTGGGCTTGGATGATCACCTTGGATGATCAGCCTTTCTTGTCTAGGATGTCATCTTGCATGAGTGGTCTCCTTC